TAATGCTCAGCACACTCTGGTAAATCTATAAGAATTCATGTTAAGTTGAAAAGAAAATTCCACCTCTTCTGACAGCAACTGAAACAAACTACCTGTCTACCTCCCCCTCTACCCTAACAGGATTTCCCCAGAACCCCCTCCCTATTCCCACACAACAACTCTGGGTTTATGAAAAACCTGTATGATTCCAAGATCTCAAAATTCCCTAATGCCACTGTTCACCATTTCCCCCCCCCCCCCCCAAAAAAAAAAAAAAAAAAAAAAAAAAAACAAAAAACAAAAAACAAAAAAACAATACCAGTAGCCAAGTGAGTAATTTCTTTTTCCCCAAACCTATTTTCCCCTTCTATTTTTGTGAAAATAATATAGAAACAATGATGGAATGGTCCTAAATAAGCACACTTTTGTCTTTGTAATAGATGTACTTCCTTTAGGAGAGGAAGAGTCTGACCAAGAGTAAGGGTTAAATTTCATTCAGAAATAAGAACTCAACTCTGGTAAGTACCAGCATTCCATTCAAAATCCCACAAGAGGGCAAAAGAAAAAGAATAATCTTGGACCCAATTCCCTTAAGTGGCAAATGATCTCACTGTAGCATCTTCCATTGCACAGATTAGTGATGCACAAGTATTAAATATATCCACAGCACGGGATCTTGTTCTGATACTGTGCATCTACAAAAAACATTCAAACACCAATGACCACACCATGTCATGTTGAGAGGTTGATACAGGTATGCAGACCTCAACAACATTTCAATCTTCAGCTGCATGAGGGGACGCAAGTGGCCTCAACTGTAAGTACTTTTTAGAAATGCTAGGATATTATCCTAGCATTCCTAACATTCCGAGCTGCGCAAGAGTGTCAAAATCCGTGCGTATGTCACAGAAATGTCACTAGACCTAAAGTATGCCAGATGAGGGCGAATAAATCGTGTGGATATATTTCTCTTTATAATCTACAATGTAACACAAAGGAACCGGCCAAGGAATAAAGGCACTATTGATTGCATGTGAAACAAAAGCATTAGCTGATGACATTTTGATATCAGGCATTAATTCATTTATCTTCTCATATTTATTCGCCCTCATCTGGCATACTTTAGGTCTAGTGACATTTCTGATATACACATGGATTTTGACACTCTCATGCAGCTCAGAATGTTAGGAATGCTAGGATAGTATCCAAGCATTTCTAAACAGTACTTACAGTTGAGGCCGCTTGCATCCCCTCATGATTTGAACAGATAGTGCATAATTTCCACCAACATACCTCTGCATGAATAAATATCTTATCCATTTCAGGCAGGATCACAGGCACAACATGTGGCATCTGTGTGTCTGTCACCTCACGGCAGAACTCTAAGGATAGATTCACAAACACTTTACACTGCTGCTCAGAAATAAGTGAGACTTAATAGAAACCCTTAACAGGCTAGACAACGATACTAACAATGCACATCCAAAATTATGCAAGTGCATTACAAATATGCATTTCTCTCTATTTCAAAATCTACAATGTAAACTTTCCTAACTCTCATATTACAGTCACCTACTTCACAATGCTCATTTCCTTAGACATAAGGGGCAGTTGACCTTGGGTTTTTCTAACCTTTTCATTCCCAGGTGTGACCAAAGACAAATTTCTCCTAACAATATCCATACAATATCCAGCAGAAAGGTGATGAGAAGTGAAAAAATATAATATTGGGATAAAAAGCCAAATTCTTGAACTAAAGTTATAAGAAAATAATGTCTGGCAAACAGTGGGGAAAATGGATATTAAAATCTTGGAGTGAAAGTGTTAACCATTGTTTGAACAAGTTGGAAGGACACCATTTCAAAAGGTTCCATTTTCCAGTAGCTGTTCCTTCACCCCTAATAAGCTTTAGTGAAGTACAGTTTTTCATACCTGTTAAAACTCTCATGGCTCCATGAACCAAATTGCCATCCCCACTTGTCAATGCTTGCATCAGATTCCCAAACAAATGTGGCCAAGCTTCTGGCCAATCCCAGTATGCTATGGCTGAGATTGCATATGCCTGAAAATATATAGTGGAAATATGTATAAATCTACAAGTGTTGAGGAAGACTTACAGATGTACAAATGTTATTAAAAGACTGTGAACCTACTACTGCTTTTTTCTTATAGAGCAAGAGATTTTTTAAACTTTCAAAAGTACATTGAGAGTTAGGTCTTTGCAAATTTACATTTGTACACCTCAATGTCATTTTCTCTCTTGAACCTGCTCACTCAGTGTAACTAATAGCATAACTGGTAACTCATGGTGTCATCCAGTAAAAACAGTCACACACAAGAAAGTGCTTCTAGAACTTGAGTTTTCCCCAGGCCATGAGGATGTACCTTCCATGCTAAGTTGATCATGAGAGATGCCAAGAATAACCTCTCACAATAGATTACCCTTTGAACATGAAAACAACTTACCACACTTGACCTGACTTTACTGATTGATTCCTGTAGACCTCCTGGTAAAAGACGACGAATCTCTTCCTTGGCCTAAAACACAAGAAAAAGAGAAGATATTAGTAACCGTTGATAATTAGCAATGTAGGAGAGAATGGTAATAATGTTGCTAAAATAAATGACCATTGACTATGTCTGTGCAACTTATAAATATTGGGAGTAAGTTTCTAAAGAGACTGTGGTGCTGCATCAGTGGGAGAGTACAACAAATAAGTTGATAACTTAAATTAGCCATAGTTAAGAGTTTAAAAGCTGATGTTTTGAGCATTAGCCCTTCCAAATCACCCTGACAAAGGCCTAACACTTAAAACATCAGCTTTTAAACTCTTTACAGTGGCCAATTTACTCTGCTGATGATACTAAATTACCCTGCAACACACCTTATGGTTGCCTCCTCTCCACTGAACATGTGGAGAGGACTATTATACTATTCCTTAATATAGAACTGCCTGTTGTATACCATAACTTAAAATACTGGATACTCCATGCAGAGAACTTTATAAGTAATATGCCACACATTCTGTGCTGGAATCTGCATAATTTGATTTTCACAGTTATGTGTCTTTTGTGTTTATTTGTTTATATTAATTATTCATTTGTACAGCACTCCTGTACTTGTTGTGTAGTAAGGAATTTGGTTATTAAAACCTCAAGTTTTCATGGTAAACATTGTCGCCATTCTGCAACACTACAATACTTATTTCTGAGAAATCACTTTAAAACACCCAATCTTTCACCAGCCCTCCCTCCAAGAATCAACCTTTCCAATGCATTACCCTCTTTAACCTTTTCACCATTAAGATCTTAATAATAATTTTCCTTACTGTCTGCCATACAATTCAAATGACATAAGTGCTGAGAATTTGGTATTAAGTCAACTTATAATGCCCTAATTGATATTTTCAAGAAGAAACTATCTCATGGGAGAAACTTCTCCCTTTAGAGAATTTAAAGGGTTAAAAAAATGAAAATAGCGATATATCTGTATATGGAAATTGAAAAAAAACTCATTAAATTACTCCACAAAGATGATTTACATTTACCACTGTAAGACTTGAAGTATACTCAAAATGTACTTACAGCATCTGTAGTCTCAGGAGGTCTAAATTTCTCAGCACTGCTATTCCAGTGGGCTTCAACATACTGCTTTAGAATGACTGAGGCAAGCTGAAAATGATTTATGTTTGATTTTTTTTACTCTATGTTACTATGTTACACTAAATAAACAAAAGACTATTCTTCAATCAGACTTAATATTCATGTAAGCTTGATGGAAACAGTTAAAAGAAATAGTAATGACATCAAATTGGTGCAGATTCATCCTTTAGTGAACTTACAAGAAAAAACTGACCAACCAATCAAGCTGACAGGCAAGGTTATCAGTTTTGTTCAAACACGCAACATTTACATGTACATGTAACTTTTCAATGCAATCATACAATCCAAGTAGTTTGGATATAAAGCACGCTGTCATTGGTTGACAGAGCATGTTCTATCAGAGTCCAAAGCATGGAGCTGAGCTAAAGCCGTCACACCTTCTGCCAATTATTACTATGTCCAACCATTTCCTGAACTTTTCTCTTAGACTGGCTTTGTTTCGTTAACTGAAAGTGAAAGTTTGCAACAAGCAAGCTACCAAGTAGCACAAGCAGAACCAAACAAAGGTTTGTAAACATGCCAAGCCCTGTAATTGAGGTTATAATGATGTGAACAGAGATGAAAAGTTCCTCAAAGAGAAAACAAAATTGACAGCCCAAGTTTTCAAGGTATTCATGCTCAGTTAGATTGTAGGCATACCTACAGTATAAGAATCAAACACAGCCAACTCTTGCATAATATATATAAAGTTTCATGTTGAAAAACAAAACAGAACAAAACATAGATGAAAAATATAGCCAAACTGGCATAACTGTTATAATTCATGCAAACCATGACAGTCTCAGAGCGACCACCATCACGCTATGGTCCATAACTAGTAGCTCATTGCGATGATCTACGGTCATCACAGTGAGGCAAGCCTCAACAAGCCTTGGCCACCATTTGAGTGAACAACCAAGAGCTTTGTCAGATATCCTTTCAATGTATTAAGTGGATGGCCACATCAGTCACAGCAGCCAAGTTTTATGGTGCTGTCATCCCAGGCAAGCTTCATCTTCCTGTGAATTTAGTTGTTGTTCATTCATAAAACATGGGCCTTAGGCAATTTGTTGTCTAATTGTCATGTGAAAAAACTGTTGTGTTTTATAAGCCACAATTTGGCCAGATTTCACAGAACATTTCACTTTCAGAATCCATATTGAGACTAAAAATCTTTAGGCAAAAGTGTTAAATTCAAATTGCCAAACTATTTCAGTTTGTGAATTATGGCAGATTGTGAACTTTGATGGTTTTTGACAGCTTTCTTGTTCAAACAATCAGATTATTTCAACCATACTACCAAGGATTCTGATTGGCTTATGGTAGTTTGCTTTATGAGAGTATAGAGCATTTCTCCCAACTCAAGAGGTGGGGAGTGAAAAGAGTTCTCTATTAAATCTACAAGATGAGCCTTCTGGTTTTTAAGCTGACTTAACTGTAATTAACCCACAAAATACTTTAATTAAATTGTAAAATCTCTCTGCTATTACTTATTATTTTGAAAAATGCTGTCACTGACTTGTCTGATAGCAAGGGCTCCCTCTCTGTCAACTGTGAGTTCTGCTAAATGGACACCAAATTCTGAAAATTATGAAGTAAAGTTAAAACTTTGATTAGCAAGTGTCTCTCATCTGGCATACAATGATGAGTTGTAAGAAGGGTGAGGATGCTGCACATGTAAAGTAATGCAGAGAACAGATAAGCAAGACTTCAATTTCTTGATCAGTGAGGAGAGGTATTGAAGACCATCTGATATGGGAGGGGGAGAGGAAAAGATTATATGGCAGTTTTCACAGGAATGTTGATCATTACAATATCAGTAGATCTGTTGAATCTGGTCATAAAAACTAAAACAGAAGGATTAACTAATCATGAAGAAGTCCAAATTTCACCACCAGATTAGGAAGTTTTCCCTAAACAAGGGGTATTACTGAAGCCTCAAAATTTTGGCTGATTTTTTTCAACAACATTATATGAATCTTTGATGTTACATAAATCCAGGTTTTTCTTAAGAAAAAATGTTTCACAAGTAAGGTGAAAAAGTTTCTAAACTTAAACCATTAGTGTGAGAACTCCTCATGTAAAGATCTGAGTTTTTGCCACAAATAACTTGTTGCTGTGCTGGGCATTGATTACAATGAATTCATAGGATGATAATAGTAAATTTATAGAGTATATTCTCATGTTAATTTTCTCTAACAGACCTTACAACACTTTTCCTGCCACTTTGGCCAAACTGCATTGAGCAGTTTACATTTTTTCAGAAGAAATTTAGAAGGTGCCTGGAGTTTCTGGAAACATTTCCAGATCACAACACCCAGAGCTATGTTCCTTCATCTTTGTGAGAAATGCTAGGGTTCTCTAACATCCCCAGCTAACCAGTACCAAGAAGATGCAGGTGAAGGAGCCTACAATTTATCATCCTAATGCAAGAAGACTACAACATCTAACCATTTGCAAATGTCATAGCAAAGGCAACACATTGTTCTCAGCTATTTTAAAACCCTGAGTATTGGTCCCCTCCAGGGCTTAAACCTTAGCCCTCCCACACAGCAGTTTTGCGCTCTAAAACCTGAACTAACTAGGAGAAGATGTAAGAAGCATTATGCATAGTGCTGGCACCAGCAGTATCAAAAGCACCACATGTGGGATTAAAGTAAGGAAGGATACTTTTTGAGGTTTGCCTTGAAATATTGAGGATTCTGCCCAACTATAGAAAGCAATTGAAAACAGTAATCCAAAGTCACTGAAAAGGAAGCTACCAGACCCCCAATGGTGCCACTAATAGAAGATGGAACAAAATGAACAACATTTCAAGCCACTCAATAGTTTTTTCATTGAACGAAAAACGCAACGCATTTGCATACATCAAGCATACTATGCAATAACTGCTACATAAGAAACTTATGCACTTACTGTCCTAATACACTGTGCATATGTTAATTTGAAATTGACAGCAAAATTACCAATCTATTTAGGGTTTGCTGGTAAAACGCAAAAAATCCGAGTGGCTCGGGAAACCATTCTGAGCTTATTTCAGAAAGTTTGCTTGCAAACTTAAGTTTTTTACTTCAGCTTTCTTGAAAGTTTTTTCATTGATTTGCATGAAGAGAAATACACATGAGAGCCTAAGAACGGTCAGAATACGTAGCTTATTACTTCTAAATGGCAATCACTAACCCAGCTGAGCTCAAAGTATCCGTTTAGCACACAAGTGAGCATTCCGTGAAATGTACATCTACTAGCACGTTTTTCATTTTGATGTTTAGGAGAGCACAGCGTTCCCGGTGAATTTAAAGCAACTCACATATCCTACCTTCCGTGACCTCGAGAACCTTGAGCTGTTCTTCAGCCATCTGTCTAGATTGTTGATCTGGCGACAGGATGGCTGTCAGGCTATCTATGAGGGCCTGTTTTAATGATCGATTCCTGTCGTCCATTGCAGCAGCCATCTTGGAAATTCGGATTAAAGAAGACAATTGCGCATGCGATTACTTTGGCGGGAAAAATTTTAAGAGAGTTTTGACCGCTGACTAGCAGGTCTTAATGTCAACTGAAAGAGGAGGCCATATCAATTCACAAGAATTCTGACGCGATTTACACACAAAGTTAACTCTCGGAAAAGCCTTTGGTGGTGGAGAAGGTATTTACCGAATCGTGTCTCGTCGAAACTTTGATTTGGTGGCTAGAGACTGTAATATTGAGTAACCCAGGCCGATGTAGTGTGATCGAGGTGCTGACCTAATACTATTACGGCAGAGTGGATATCACTATGTGGTTCTGGCAATGAGAGTGAAAACTGGAATGTGGACCACTAATCTACAGTTAATTGTCAAAGTGACAGCACAACAGGAAGACAAAATTTAACTGATCAGCATGACCTATGCTTTGATGGGTTTTAGTTGATCATCCTTAGCTTATCTGTTTCCCTATCATACGTGGAGCGTTTTTCCACATCTCTGTTCTAATGCCCAGATTTGTTTCTTAATAAAGCCCTGACTTGTCACTCAGTAAGATCTCAGTTCTATTCCAAAAGGAACAACAAAAGACTTGGTTTTCAAATGCAACTGAACATTTACTTTTGCCTTTCCATTTGGTAGCAATGATGATGCTAAATTATTTTCTTCTCTCTGTCTTTATTTGTAATTAAATACTTCTGACCTTATCAAACAAGGAGCTGAAATGCTGCAACAAATCTAAAACATCACAATCATGTCTAAACACTCTTGTCAAAAAAACCCTATAAACAAATGATAGTGCACATAACCTCTCAATTATTTTATGAAAGAATCAATTTGTTTAAAGGCCTCTGTACAGAGGGAAATTTTTACATCATCAGAGAAAATAGAGGTCACTCTCTTTGACATCATACATGTCTCTAGGAGCTGTGGAGTTCATATTTTTCTGTTCCCTTTTGAAACATCCATAATTCAGTTTTAACCTTGCATTAACCCTTTAACTCACACGGTTAAAAGGTCCAACTTTGTGAGTTTACAATTGTCATTTAGTGCAGCACTCAGGTGTAATTCAACTGTGGGTCCAACTTTGTGAGTTTACAATGTTCATCTTTCAGTGCAGCACACAGGTGTGATACACCTTGGTCTGATATATTGTTGCCTGAAAGGTCCAACTTTGTGAGTTTACAATGTTCATCTTTCAGTGCAGCACACAGGTGTGATACACCTTGGTTTGATATCTTGTTGTATCCAAGGTTCAACTTTGTGAGTTTACAATGTTCATCTTTCAGTGCAGCACACAGGTGTGATACACCTTTGTCTGATATATTGTTGGCTGAAAGGTCCAACTTTGTGAGTTTACAATGTTCATCTTTTAGTGCAGCACACAGGTGTGATACACCTTCGTCTGATATATTGTTGCCTGAAAGGTTCAACTTTGTGAGTTTACAATGTTCATCTTTTAGTGCAGCACACAGGTGTGATACACCTTCGTCTGATATATTGTTGTTTGAAAGGTCCAACTTTGTGAGTTTACAATGTTCATCTTTTAGTGCAGCACACAGGTGTGATACACCTTGGTCTGATATATCGTTGAGTCCAAGGTCCAACTTTGTGAGTTTACAATGTTCATCTTTTAGTGCAGCACACAGGTGTGATACACCTTGGTCTGATATATTGTTGTGTCCAAGGTCCAACTTTGTGAGTTTACAATGTTCATCTTTCAGTGCAGCACACAGGTGTGATACACCTTCGTCTGATATATTGTTGTGGCTAAGGTCCAACTTTGTGAGTTTACAATGTTCATCTTTTAGTGCAGCACACAGGTGTGATACACCTTTGTCTGATATATTGTTGGCTGAAAGGTCCAACTTTGTGAGTTTACAATGTTCATCTTTTAGTGCAGCACACAGGTGTGGTACACCTTCCTCTGTTATAAGATTAAGAGCAAGGTGCAACACAATGTTTCCCTGGAGATGCTTTATCAAGTAAACAATTGCCGCACAGTCAGGAGCTGTGACACTACAACTATGCAGATCAATTTTGATGTCAGATGTGATACTACTCAGCATTTCAGTAGCAGCCTGCTTTACTGTGGCTTCATCATTGTACTCGTACAAGCATTTCATCATGAGAAGAGCCATCCACCCTGACATCCTGGTTAGTTCAGAGTTTTCCATGGAGTCACAAAGCATGTTTACAAAAACAATAACTGCTTTACTTCTCTTATCACCAAGTAGACCTGCTACAAACTGAAGCACCAGATGCCATTTTGGGTCTGAGGCATTTCTTCTGACAAAACTCTTGAGCTCACCAGGGTTCATTTTAGCAATTTCCCTTGCAGCAAGAAATTCTTGAAATGTCAAGTGAAGAAAGCAGTATTGTGACTTAAATTTGGAGCTTGAAACTTTTCTGTTTGGCATGCGGTTAAACAAACCACATTTCTCTATTCCCTGCACTTCGTGTGAATCAAACACCAGTCGTCCTTGTTCTATGCCTTCTACTGCCAATGCTCCTGCCTTAATCAAAGTTTTCTCTACAGGATCTGGGAAGTCAATATTTCCCATAAGAAAGTCCTCTGTTAATGGTTGTCCTTTAAATTCTGAATGATGTTTGAAGATAAACAATTTCAGAGCCTCTTTGTAAACTTGTGTTGAAGTTGATGGCAAAGCCATGTCAGTTGAATTCTGTTCTTGGAGTTTGAGGCATTCCTCCAACAGAGAGCAAATAATGTGCGTGTTTACTGGGATGTAGCATAGTGACCACAACTCTAAATTGGTGCTGATATGACTCCATATTTTATCTCCTCTCTCTTCATCATGTGCAAAACGTTGCCGCACATACTCCTCGATCTTCTTGGGTGTAAAACCCATTATCTCCACCTTCCTGTCAAAGTGCTTTGCAGTGAGGTGTGCAATGCTCTGCACTGCATCAGGTCTACTGGTTGTTAAAACTGTGGCTCCTGGAAGCAGCTTTCCTTTCACTAGCTTAACATAAAGAGCAGACAAAGGCATTTGTTTCATTGCATTATTTCCATGATATGCTTCATCATCTTCCAGACAGTGGGAATGGTACCTGAATTCATCTAGGCCATCAAACACAATGATTGCTTTTTCAGGGTTGTCTAAAACATACTGGAATAGCTCATCATCATTGCTGCCTTCTGGGTGTAAATGACACAACAATTCTTTGAGAGTTATCTTCTGCAATGTCTCATCGTTGAACCATCTAAATTGGATAAAATAAAATAGGTGAAAGTCGGGCAACAAATCATCCTTGCCCCAGTCACGCGATATTTTCGTACACAGCAGGGACTTTCCAATCCCTGGGCGACCAATCACAAGAATTTTAAATGGATTTTGAGTATCTTTGTTTTGGAGAAATAACTCTTTAACTGAGTTGATAGCCACTGATCCATGTTTTGGCTTCAAATAGACATCGAATATTTCGTGTCTGACAGACAAGTTAGTAAATTCGTGTTCTGCCCTTCCGGTGTAAATAACAAGGTCGACAAAATTGTCGTCCAACTTAAAATTTCCATCGGACTCAGCAATCAAAGGTTCTATAGTTTCCGTTTCCCTCAGAATTGTCTCCCTCATGTGGGTAATCGCGTGACGCAGAGTGACTGAAAGGGTTTTCTTGTTCCAAAAGTGTTTTTGACAGAATTCAGAGTCCAAGGTGAACTCTTTACTGCGTGACTTTTGTACCAAAAGATACAACATCTCTCCAAAAACCAGCAGCGCCAGCACAACATTTACCACCAAAATTAATGTGGCATTCAAGTTCTTGTCTGATGCGACGGAATTGTCACAGTTGATCATGACCGCGGAATAATCTTTGGTTGCATTCGATTTCGTCGAATTTACAGTTGGCTTTACGGTCGGGGCAACACAAGCGAATTCTGCTGGAAATCCAGCGAGATAAAACACACACTTTTGTAAAGCAGCACACAAAATTCCCCATAAACATCGTAAAAGGAGATGTATGAAGTAACAACGAAACACTCGGCGAGATGCCACCCTTGGCCGGCGGCGAGGGTTTTCCGGATCTGCTTTCAAGGCGGTTTCAAGCTCATCGACACAGGATTTCACAAAGCACCAGGAGTAAGAGATACACACAACCACCGAGGGAACGAAGCAAAGTAAGACAAATCCATAGAGTGGAAGAGGATTGTAATGTTCGTCATATCTCACCAAACAATAATCACGAAGGTGAGTAGCAGACTGGCAGCTAAATCTAAGTCGTTCGTTGATTCTCAAGGCTACAGTGGCTGCTAAGAGTGAGAGCAAAGCTGGAATCTAGTAACAGATTGATTCTACATGAAGGTAAATCCGAGGCAATGGTCTTAAGTACTACCCCCTTCATAGGTCCTTTGAAACAGCTGAAGTGGGGTATGGACACCATCCGGTATGTGTCCTCCACCAATTGCCTTGGGGTTACAATTGATGATAAACTCTCTTGGTCTCAGCATGTTGCATTGGCTAGATCTGCATTTAATTCACGTTAAAATGTTGAGACGTATAAATTTCCTAAGTACATCTATCTTGGAGACTTTTTACTATAGGATAGTTATACCAAGTGTTCTATATGGAATTGCAATTTGGGGGTCTGGATCCAAGCTTAAAGATCTAGAAATGATTCACATCAGGGCTGCCAGGCTAATTCATAAGATACCAAATAGTTTTGGGGATAACGTGTACTTTCTAAGGTTGCTGGATGCCTTTAGAGTATTTTTATAAGCTACGTATCTTAACTATTACATATAATGCTTATTATAATTTAGGGTTGCGGGAAATTAATTGTTTGGTGACCAAGAACTCTAACAGTTATAACCTAAGGAAATCCCTGAATGTTGTACTTAATAGGCCCAAAACCGAATTGGGTCGTAGGTCCTTTGCTCATAGATCTGCAGTAGCATGGAATGCACTTCCCGATAATGTTAAAGATTCTCCAAATTTATCTATTTTTAAATATAACTTAAAACAATCCAAGCAAACTGTTATGAATATTAATTTTGAAAAGGGAGGTAATGTTATACAAAACATGAAACCAAATTTTCACTATTACTAAAACTTTATGGTTTACTTGATTTATTCAACTTACAAATTTTATCATATCTGTATTTTATATAATTATAGACTAATTAGTTTAGGCAGGTCCACATCAGCTGTAAAGTTGCGCAAATTTTAACCTGCGTTATCAAATAAAGTTATGTATGTATGTATGTATGTATGTATGGAAGGTGAGAAACTGCACCAATGTACCCGACGCGGCTGAAGTATTTTACCTGAAAAAACTCCTTGACATTATCCATTGAAAGCGTATATTATTCCTTCAACGCAACTACGGAAATTCTTTCGGAATTTTACTCTGAAGAATTCACGTGACTAGGAGTGTCCAAGGTGCGCTCATCTCAGACTCCCTCGGAATTATCGGAAAGAGCTCGATCTCGATCGGAGAGGCTTTTTTTTCTTCTGGGGGAATATTATAAACACTAGAGTTTACGTTACGATTGCAGTTCAATATGTATATTTAAATTTGTTGTGGTATTTGAGACCGGACCTGTAAGGGATGAGCCCATAAAAAAAAACAACAAAAACGTGGGAGTGTCAAAGGCTCAAATAGGGTGCAAGGCTAAGGCAGAGCTTTGAAAAGATTTTATGAGGAGTCGCAGGAAGCGACAGAACAGTTTTAATGTAATCAAGATTCTTTGATTCGTCATTTCCCTTATCTGCTCATGTCCGGGAAAGGGGAATTTTAAAAGGCTGACTAATGTATGGATACAATTCGAGATACAATGTATTTCTTTAATTTAATCTAGCATGGAAAAAAGAGAAAGGCGAACTTAAAAGTAAACATACACCATCTTTTTTTAACATACCATGATGTCTAGATTAAACGCCAGACCCCGCTTAAAACGCTGGTGTCATAAATGCCACGGCCAGAATGCTAACTAAATTGGGGAAAAGAAAAAAAAAACTCCTGCTGATTAATTTAGTAAAAAAAACTCCGCTGTATACTTGGGGCACGCCATGGGGCGTTGTTGGGCTAGGCACCTAAGGGAGGCTCAGTCTCCGTTTGCGTTAAACCAAGACAAGACACTCCTATAAATTAGGCCTCTTAAGCAAAATTCCTTTGATAACAGAGGATGGATGATAAAAATCCTACTCGAAAAATGTCAGAAAATTGACCACCGGCCCATTTTACCCAGGCCTAACCAGAGAACAAATTATGACAATGACGTCACGACGTACGTCATAAAATCGACATATTCTTGAAATATGGCTTCCATCGTAGTGAAGTATACAATGTATGTCTAAAAGAAAATGACCTAAAATCGTGCACAAGAAGTAAACAGGTTCGGTGATCAGTAATGGGGACGGGAGCTAGTGCATCAAGGCAGCAGTGGACCGCAGCTGATGAAGATAATACGGCTGTTGAAGATGTAAGACCGCGTACGGCCGCAAACGCGAACCTTCCAACAAACGACATGACTGGAATGACGAAACTAGTAGAAGCTAAAAACAAGTTTTTGAAGATCAAAAGTAAAGAGAAGAACACGGCGTGTTTCCAAAAACAGGTATCTGAAGTTTACAACTTGCAGTGTAAAATCCCTTCATGATTTCCCTGGCTACTTGATATATGTATGAATAACAAAAAAATTTCCAAGGTACGACTTATAAACAGCAGAGCTTTACTTTTGAGCAAAATTTTCTAAGATTTACTCCTTACGGAATGATTATTAGATAACTGATAACTTTGATTCGCCTGTGAAGTTCTCTATTATCTTTTTCACAGGGGGGGAGAGGCTCCTACACTGGGGCAACACTAATATGCCGTTTCTACTCTATCCCTTCGCCTCAACAAAATTTTACAAAACTTTCCCTTCTGTAAGGTCAACACCACTCAGTTGTAATCACACTTTCACATGCTGTCTCATCTTTATCAAAAGGATGCTGTTTCGCTTTTTTCTTCTCAGAGAGAGAATAAAATGATATGGATGCATTAAAAGTAAAACTTTAGAAACAGGCCTAAAACTTTTGAACTGTTGTTTTGAAAATGTATTGTAAATAAACTTGCTTATTAAGTACTCTTTTTTAAGCTTGATGGAACAGATATTATCAAAGAACTCTACAAGCGCATGGACCCAACTGTGACACAACCTGACACAGGAGATATCAAAGGAGATATACAACTCTCTCTCAAGTACAATCACAAACAACAGCTTTTACTGGTTAAAGTCATTCGAGCTAGAGACCTTGTTCCTAGAGATCTGAATGGAAAATCAGACCCATATGCTGTGTTAGATCTTGTCCCGGATGTGTAAGTCTGTTATTTTGTTACAATATTTGGCAAGTGATGTAGTCTACAGATGATAAATACAGTACTTTCTTTTCATTTTTGCATCATGTCAAAAAGGCCTGGTCTTACACCCTCATCAAAATTTACAGAGTTCTCATACACACTAGAAGTTACACACTCATCAAACAAATTTATTCAAAATTCAGAATAGATACACATGTAGCTATTTCTACTTTTATTTGCATGACTGTCATACCTCGGTCTAATATCTTCTGCATAATTTTTTTATAAGAAATGGGGAAGGACAGAAAAAGACTGGGTACAAATCCAAGACACTCAACCCTGTGTTCAATGAAATATTTTCATTCCAATTGGATCATTCACGCATAGCAGACACAAAGCTAAGAGTGGCTGTTTGGGACCATGATTTTTTTGGTGAAGATGACTTCAATGGTGAAGGTGTAGTGGACTTATCTGCAATCAGTCTTAACACTGGAACTCATACCGATTGGTTTATGCTTCAACTTGCGGTATGTTATTACTTTTATTATAAATAAGACTTACAATTAAAACTCTGATTGGGCGAGAGCATACTGTCAATATACAATTATAGCATGTGAAGTTAACATCATAACCCAATATCTGCAGCAGATATTGGGATATCATGTTGAGTTTAAAGTCTGCTTAGTTTCCAAGCCCCCTAATAGGTGAAGTGTTCTCAAACTTTTGCAAAATCAGAGACAAGTGTGTTATTTTGCAAATTGTGTAAAAAAAGAATAATAAAACAATTATTGAAGTCAGTTTGGGCATGATATAATGAATTATCAAGCCTCAGGTCTGTGTTATCTGCTGAAGCCAGAGGCCAAGGCAGATAACACAGACCTTACCATTGGTATCATGCTCAACCCCATGCAATAATTGCTTGATATGTGCGTCTAATTAATGTCAGAAATTTTGAATGATTGAATATGAACTTGATGTGTCTTGACCTTGTAGAGAAACATGAGAAACTTAGTGGCCCTGTGGTTTGTGCTCTGTATTGCACAGTGAGGTCTGGGTTTGAGCCCTTTCTGGTAGAATTAATGGTGTTGTGTTCTTGGGGAAGACTAGGCCTATAAGTGCTAACCTAGGGTTAAATTTCAACACAGATTTCTTGATTCCTCAGTTCAAAAGCCTCTTTCAGTTAACCTTCTCTATTCTCTTTAGAGCATGCAATCAGCAAATTGTAGACAAAAAAAAATTATACTGAATTTTACTTCAAAGCTTTCATATCTTTAAGCAGATTTCACACTAACCTTGGGTTTAGTCTTAACCCAGGATCAAGATTATGAACATCTACCAGTGAAATGAACTGCCTGGGAAATGCGACAAATTACTGTAAGGAGGATTGGGGTTTAACTTGTTATTAACCCTTTCAAAGGGAAAGCAATTGATCCATTTTTTGAAAGAAGGAAATCAATATCAACTGTTTCTAAACCTCACCCAAGTTTCTTGGTTAAGGAAAAGAAAGACCATTATTTTGCAAAAGTTTTCTATCCATTGTTGGAAAACTAGAGATTGAAAACAGGTTTGGGGGAATTTTCTCTATGTGTTATTTTAAAGTGGATAAAATACTTCCACATGCATTTTCAAGTTTGTTTGTGCATGTAAGTTGTATTTTTCTGGAGGATCTCTCTTAGTGTTGACATCCAATTCAACCCAGTCTTTTCCATAACCCTAATCCCTAGCATCTTGATAATGCAACAATATACATGTAAGCACTGAAGTTTTATTAGAGATTTTTAAATTCTAGGACCAGTTTGGCTACAAGCACTAGATTTGAATTCAAGTTTTATGTTAAATACAAATGGAATATATCCCTCATGAAGCTCTATTGTGCACATTTTGAGCAACTTACTTTGCAAAGCTTTTGTCATCAGATACAATCAAACTCCTTCTCTGCTGTAAAACTATGAGACTGCTGACTTGTTGGTATCTTGTTAGGCTACCATTTTTGTAAAAACTCAACCTAAGGGATAATGTTGAGGGTCCTTGTACTTTTCCCACTAATTTGAAAATAAGAGAGATTTGTGCTTACCCTCTGTTTTGTGGTTGAAAAGTCTAAGACTTTGAGGATATCTCATATTTGAATCTTAAGGTCTATATTTGGAATACACCTGTTGATGAAACAAAAAAATAATGATATCATAATAAGTAATGTTAATAGGACTGAGTGGAGTCCAAGTCAGTCTGTAATCATGTAAGTGATAAAAAACCGGCAACAGAGTATGATTACAGACTGAAGTGGACAACACAAAGCATTATTACCAATTAATCATAAAAATTACAATTTCTGATGAAAGAAGAATAGCTAAGTTATGAAAGTTAGGGAAGATTTTGATTTAAACTACAACTTTGAATGTGATTGGCTTATTGAACAGTCCAATATCAACTTGGCAAGTGAATTAGTGGAAAATAGGAGTTTTTCAAACCAATCACAAACAAGGAAATTGTTATTAAGCTCATTTTCATCAACCTTCATTTGCAGACTGATTTCAGCATCAAAGGAGAATTAGAAATCAGTCTTGAATATGAAGAACCTGAAACTCTGATAGTAACCATCCACAAAGCATTCAACATCAAGGCTGGAAACACGCTGAGGAACACCTCTGATGCCTTTGTCAAGTGTGCAATTTCTGGAACTAGTTTTCAATATGAAACTGAGGTGTGTATATGATCTTCAAAAAGCCAACTGGGTAACTTCCCAGCCATTGGGGATTTTTTTAACAATTTGTATTGTATCTACTCCTCCTGACTATGTATTTGCAGAGTCCCCAGTTAGAACAGAGCTGCTAAATCACTGAACCCTTTAACTCCTAAGATCTGACTGTTGATTCTCCCCTCTAGCTGCTACACATTTCCTTGTAAATTAGTTATGAGAATTTGGTGTTAGATTGGAATAATAACTTTGTTTGCTGGACAATGTATGGATATTATAGGAAGAAGTTTCATGTTAATCACTTTTGGGAGTCAAAGGTCAAATTGATTTGTTTAATTTGTTATACTGTATATACTTTTGAACATGCTCTTGAGCCTCCTCTTCTTCAAGCTTCCTTCTCCAACGAGCACTACTCCTTCTCTGAAAAAGAAAAGATTTCTAGGCTTTGATCCGTTTCAATGTCGTACTTATTCAATTAATTCACTCAACATTTTTCTAAATAATATTTTGATGTGATCTGCTGAGTCACATATTACAAAGTAAGTTTTCTTAGACAACTCTTCTAAGGTGTTTATCAACACAAATCAACCACTCGTCAAAAACTTACAAGAAACCAAAAGTTGGTATCATCAGTCAGTTGCGCCCCATTTTAAACTTCTGAATGAAATAAGCCCTTGTGTATACCTCCTTTTTATGATTGAGCTATTACAAGAAAAAGCGATTGAATAATTCAGTTGTTCTGAAAATTGAGCGCTGTAAATTGTCTGCTTCTCAAGCTAAACAAGGCTTCACTGTTTTCCACAACTCCCTCTTTCAGTGGCTCTTGTATGAAAATCCCCAATCTCACAAATATTGTGCCTTTTAACTACAGGTTGTTAGTGGTACGTTGTTTCCAGAATTTGAAGAAACGTTTGAATTCACTGTTCCGCCTGAGGAGTTTTCGTCGAGGTAAATTAGTGTGTATGTTATTTATAATTCCTTGTATAACATAATTCATCGCTAGTGGGAAAGGAAAGCTATATAAAATTTAGAATCCTAGCCAAAGTTACTTGTAAGTACGTGGACGTCAATCCTAGCCTGCAGAAACGGAGTCCTTTTCGGGCGAGGGAACGTTACGAGCTCGCGAGCACATGTTTTATTTAGAGTAAGAGCGGACGGTGAGTGGGGTGTATATTCGCTGTTTAAATTCTCTGCATGTCCTAGATCTCCGCAATTGTACTTTAAAAAAGTTAACCCAGTTCTATAGTCCAAAGTTAGTTTTTTGCCGGAAACGTTATGGTGGTGGACATGTAATTGCAATTCACTGCTGTTTCCGCTCTTGTTTTTTTTCGTTTTGTCTGCAGGGCTGTGCTGTTTCACATTTTCGACAAGGAAACTGTTGGTAGCAACAATTCACTTGGACAAGTCAACATAGAGCTAAAGTACTTAGACTTGGATGAGCCAATCAGAAAACGATACCCTCTAGCTGATCTGGTAACTGAGATAATTAGTTTTGCGTCCTTCGCATGTGGAGAATTTTAAAGATAAACTCTGTCTTACTGGAACAATTTCCATGAATTGTCGGAAGTAAATCTGGTTTGCGTTGGTTTAGTGTAATGACGATCTATGATTGGTTTGAGGAGGCAAATTTAAAGGCGTCTTTGCTCCAAATTAGAGAAGAATGGGCTCAAAATTGGCTAGCTGCCGGGCTTCTTAAAACTCGCTTTTCTGAGGTGCAAAAGAGCAAAGTTCGGCTTCCACGCACGAATGTTTGAAGATTAAAGATGTACCATCGATACAAACTGATAATACGGGACATTTAACGATTAGAAGGACTATGCCCAAAATTCGGTCATTTTTAGTTTAAAAGCTATTTTCAATAGCGATTTTGTTAAAAAAAAATCCTACTTGCATTCCAAATTGTCACGCGCGGTGAATGGTAGATAAATCTTTAATCGAACAGAATCCGTTTTAATTTTTAAAGTTGGTCAACAAGAACCTTTATTCATTTCAGTTTAAAAATTGCTGGTCGAATTGAAAGGTTTGATTAGGTGGAGAGGTGGTGCGAAACTTATGTGGTGTCTAGGCTCCAGGACCTACGCGTTTCACATGCAAAACTTGAATATGGCTCATCTTCGGTTCTTCGAAGAGATTTTCTTGCAGGTCCAATTTCTGTCACATGACACACGATTTTACAGTAACCACTTTCTGGTATTTCTTTCGGGTCTAGTTTTTTTTCTACGCTCTGTCAAACTTCCTTCATGGTGAAGAGACAATACAATATGACCGTATGATAAGATGGAGATATCAGTAATCGGCAAGTAGTGTCTCTAAGGATGGGCGGGGTTCAAGTGGAGTCCACATGACGTACTTGACGAGTAAGCTAAGAATTAACTTTTAAAAATTCTTATTATATTTTCCAATTTTTGTGGTAGAAAAATGAATCTTACAAGAGAGCAGAATGGGCACAGAATGCCGTAGCTCAGGAGTTCAGGGAGGCCATGTACGCGCATGCGTTGTACAGACATCCCATTTTCTTGCGTGGTATCGAAACTAAAGGGCGGAAGGTAAGACTAAAGAGACAGCTTTTTAATTTAAGTAAACCTTGACAGCTTAGAAATCATGCATTGCTGGGCCTGATGTTTTGAAGCGCGATCTTCAGCAACACGTCTCCTGATATTTTTAGTTAAATCACGATTAGTGTTAATGGGGAGTCAATCAACCCGGCTCAGCCTCTCGGGGTACCTGGTATTATTTGTGTATCTCTGTGGTTTCAATAAAAGTCGCTAACCGGCTGTCTACCACCTAGCCTACATGTAGCCGTACCCTCTCTCCCAAGGGGATGGGACACGTTTCCCCTTCTGGGGGAGAGTACAGCTACACGTAGGCTATCTACCACCGTCTGTTTACCTTGCGACCAGGCTCTCTCAGCAGTCACTCATAGAAAAAGTCATTGAAAACTCTAATATCTTAAGGAATTCAAGATGAAAGGGTGTGTCCAGAACACTTTTGCCTGTTTCATCGTATGATCTTTGAAGGTCGATACAAAACTTTTTGTCCTTTTCGTAAATACTGCATGCAGTCTTTATTTTCAAGACGCATTTTCGTATTCTTCATAACGGTGTAGCTCACTCTCCGCTGGTTGAGGGTGCGAGGGTTAACGCAAAAAATTGCTTAATAGTGGTAATCTACTAAAAGTTTAAAAAAAAGTGGCGTAAGCTTCGTCGATTTTATGCGGTATTGTTAAAATTGTGTCTAGTTATCTTTTACCACTCTCTCATAAGGATAGGAAGTTAGTGACTCGAATAAGAAACTTATCCTTTTATTTTATTTTTATCCAAGTATTTTCCTTTACTGTTTGTCTGGTCTTTTGTGGCTTCGCATAACATCCTTGTGTCTCTCTCTCGTTTTAGTTGTACTCATTGAGCAGTCGCAGCGCCGGTTCATCCTCCAAAGTGTTCCTGGTCAATGGCATACCCGGTTAAACTAACCGTCGTTCTTCTTGGAAGTCTTTTTTATGACCTATCAGAGAACTAAGAAGCTTTAACATCCTTACTTGCAAACGCACATACGTGTCCTATCAATGGCCTTATTTAGATACTCCTGTAGCTAAACTCAGTTTCTTTTGAGCTGAATTGTTCGGAGCACTCTTCGAGTACGTTATTTTCGCGCGTGGAAAAAGGTAAACTATATGTAAATAGCGATATGGACATGTAGGTATCTTGAAATTTTATTATCGCTTCGGTAAGTTGTTTTCAGGACTTTGAATAGTTAAATTCCGTCTGTAATGTTAAATGTAATGAACCAATCGAATTCATGTTTCTCCGCTCGATCTTGTTCAACACTTTCATGACTACGAATCGACTTAAACCCCACTCACTCTTTCCACCAATGTCATTGTTAATAACTCACTGTTTCAACAAAAGCCAGCTTGTGGACCGCCGCCTACAAGCATTCTTACCACCGTCTTTTGAACCTGCGGGCTTGGTTTTTCGTGACGGCCGTTTCCTCGGCGGGTACAGCCGCTTATTACAGCAGCAGTAGTTTAACCCCTGAGAGTGACTAGTTTCTAATTTCTCCTCACAATATCTCTCCTAAATCACACACTAAGGTTAGGAGAATAATGGAAATGATCAACAACTACAGAGGTTCTGGATCGTTAAGCTAATTCTCCTTGTCAGCGCCTTAGGAAATGTATAGAGAACAGTACGGAGAATATACATACTGATATTAGTGTGTAAAGGGTTGAGGAAAAAGTTATTTATAGACCCCTGTAAAGTAGTATCCGAGGTTGGTTTTCACCTCCTCGTGAGAGACATGTATTAGTTAAGTTCTAGTTTCTAGTGATGTTTATTATTTATTTTTATGATTATTTATAGTCACTGTTTCTTATTAAACGCTTTTTTTACGTCACTCGCTTGGCTGAGTGGTGTGATGATACGTATGTTGTAGAGAGAGTGGAGGGACAAAGATGTAATTGTTTAAAAGTGTGTTTATAATGTAGTGAAACATAAACTTGTAGCTGTGTAGTTCGGCAATTCACCACAATCTGTTCATCAAAAGAAATTGTAGGGACAGAAAACACTCGAACCTAGTGTGAGTTCGCTTAGGGCTTATCGCATTCGTTGGATGAAAATTACTTTATTTATTTGCACCTAATTTGGATGGAAATATTTCTTTGAGCAATTTTGTATATCATGTTCAGGAGCTCTACTTGATCACTCAGAAAGTTCATTATTTTCCGTCTCTTTCAGGAAATGAACATTTTAGAAGTGTGTTAATAATTCAAAACATGGGGCCCACATGTATCAGACCATATTGTCGGAAATCCGCAAAGGAACTTGGCTGACTCAGTTGGTCGGCAACAAGTGACTTATCTAACAGGCGGAGAACAATTCGGCACGTAGACCAGCCACTTTCGCTCAGTGGGTGACGAAAAATAAATTGTTCAACTTGCGACATGCTGTCTTTTGCGCAAAATGTTTTGGCTGTTGTACAAGTTTGATTCCCACGGAGGCACAACAATTGAACAATAAGGTTCGTTACAGCTCACTTGGCCTCGGTAGGAGGGCGGTAACGGAATTGTCATCCAGGCGACATTTTGCCGGTCATTTTGCCGTCATCTGTTCATTCTGTTGTTAATTGTTGCATGATTCCGGGGTAGCGCCAAACAGGTCTCTTTCTTTGTAAAACACCGTTCTGGTCAGGTGTCTATTACACGCGGTGTAAATAGCCTAAAGCGCTTGTTTGCAAACAGCTTCGATAATGTTCTCAACAGTTAATGCGGTGACAACAAGAACGGTTTAAACTCTTAATAATTTCATTACAGTGATGAATTTAATTAAAAGTAAGGCTGACTTGTCAACTCCATTTGCAATTTGTTTCAATCTTCCACTTTGTTTGCCATCTTTGTTCTCTGTTGGTTAATAGTTGCGTCGTTTGTTTGTTTTGTTTTGTGTCTTCTTTTTTATCTTCCCGCACTAGTATACCATGATCTCCCTAGCAATGAAGAAAGCTTTGCGAAGCCGAAAAAACGACTGAAATAAGTAACCTTTAAGTGCCAATCGAAGATTCAGGAATCATTTTTTCCGTTACAAATTTGGCGAAGCGGAACACAAACGACTCGTGTTCTTTTGTCTAGCTAAAAGGACACGAGTGTTTTCTAAAACCTTGATTAATTTACTTTTAAATATAGCTATTGTCGCCCGCCTATAGAAATTGCTTAAACACTTAGAATTGAGAATGATAAGCTATCAAAATAAGAGAAAGGTTTCCATAAGTTATCTCCAATAAAGCATTAATTACATTTTTCCGGCCCAACATTATCCCAAGTTACCATTCAACAATTTTTGTTTTTACTAATTTGAATTACAGGAATTCGAGGCATCAGCAAGGCAGGGCTTTCCTTCCAGTTTAGCATAAAATTCCAGCTTGCTCTAACGTTCTGTTTTGAAAACGGCGGTACTGAGGAGTGGAGCATTTGCTTTGCCGCCGTACTCCGATCTGCTCTTGTAAGGAAACATGACTGTCCAGAACAATTATAAACGCTATCAGGCCTTGCTATCAAAATAATAGAATATATTAAACAAACTCTTTATCTTTAAAAGAACGCTGAGACAATCTCGAAAACGTTTTGAATCATTTAAAATTCAATCAGTACGGCGATGAAATTGAGAAACACACTTAGACTGCCATATTGTTATTATGTGAAATATGCCAAAATAACTCATATTTAGTTGCAAGGATGACTGTTTTTGTTTTCTTGCTTTCAGCAAAAACAGACTGATAATGATTGAACAAAATAGCAGCCAAGCGTTAACAAAATAATGATAAATATGGAAATCCAACTGCCTGTCAAGAGATTTTTTTGGAAGTGAATCAATCGATCACTCACATCAGTGAGGCATCAGTGAGAGAGGCGTTGTTTAAAAATTCCATAAATGACTGTCTGAATTCAAACTATACTTGAGGTGTTAAATATGTACTGGATAGAGTTGATTGCTAGACAAGAAAAATTGAGAGTTCTATCCTTATTTATTGGCCTCTCCAGCCTGAGGAACAGGCTTTTTCGTGTTCTTTTTCTAACGACAGAAACAAAGTGTCTAGACGAAACACTCTGGCTTTGTTTTTCCAACGTGCTAGGCAAATATTTACGAAATAAAAGCGCCCTTCATCGTTTCCGAATTACGTTGACTGAGTTCTGTGGAGGCTTTTTGTTAACACATTTCAAAGCGGATAAACATTGAGGTTGTTGTAAAGCAAACGTTGCCACTCGAATGAAACAGATATTTTAATACGTAAGGGAACATTGAATGGAACTGTTAAAGAGAAAAGAAACACAAATAAATAATGACAGATAGGAAACTAAGAAACTATTGTAAATGGAAAAGGTCGCAGCACAAAAATGGCAATTTAGCGACAGCATACAAATTGTGACAGAGAATAACTCTGAGTCATTGTGAGGAATCAAACTTCCGGAATGAAACATTAACGTATTGCGCTTTTGGTACTGATAGGGATCCAACGACTCCAACCTCGTTGTCAAGGTGTGAAGGAAAAAAAAAAGTATTTAATTAAGATTGATAGGAATCCCGATTAAAGCGTATGTTCGCGGTTTTCATTTGTCAAAAGCGGATCCCATCCCCTCCCCCTTCTCTATAGGATTATTAGTTTTTTTTTTCTTTTGTAGCTGAAGATATTTTGAGAACATATATTGTAACGTCAGTATGGATTTCGGTAGCACTTCATTAGCATTACATTTTCTTGGTTCCCTTGACATTAATTTTTAGGATCCGCACTTGAATTTTTGTTTTTTCATTTGGTACTCTCGATGTTATCCGATGACCCTACACTGTACAAAGTCTTAAGCCATAGTGAGACGTTTCTGCTCGTTCTGGTGAAAGTGGTTAGCATGTCAACTGTGATCGTTAACGAATTAAACCAGAAAAGACAACCCACCCGTAGAGGAATACTCGTTGTCGCATATTGAAGTTAAATCCATGTGCAGTTTAGATAACATCAGATAAATTCATGCAGCGGTCCTCTTCTAGTTATTATAAGTCAGTTTAGTCGATGGCAATTGTAAAAGACTGGTCTGTTGTGCATCCTCTTAGAAGAAACAATCCACAACACTGAAATTCTGTGAGCCTTTCGTTCTCTGATGTTAAACTCTGCTCAAGGCGACTTGCAAGAGGTAGCTCTTTTGTCTCCCTCGAGTCGCTTCGCGCATCGCCGGTTAATCGCGCGCGACGGTCACGCGCAAGATGGTCACGCGCGTCATCACGCCGTAGGAACCAAACGCGGAAGCCTCGCGCGTCGCACGTTCAACTCAACTATTTGATATCATTCTCTTAAAGATTGGTTTATGAGCCATTCTGTATTCTTAAGAGACGCTGCTATTTAAGTCATCCCATGTCACAGTTCATGATTTTATGTAAACACGCCAAGTTTTATCAAAGCAGCGTGTTTGAAATACAGATATAACATAGTGATTATACTGATTTTTATTTCTTGTTAGTCTGATATCAATCTTATTTAAGCAATCGTCCTTAGGACAATAATTTCTTGACGAAGAGATTTATCCTTCGTCGCGAGAGCAGTTGATGCTGCACACTTCAAGTAGCCTGATATCATCCTCGATTGAGCAAACAAAGGAAAACATTCCATCTTAAAAGGCTTGGTGTACAACATAATTGCCAAGTGTTTTCTGGATAAATAAATCAACAAACGTTTGAGGTTCTATTATCTCAATTTCTTTTGGAATGTTTACATAATGGAATACCGCTAACACGTTGTTATGAGATGTCGATTAGTTAAAGCTTATTGTAAATAAAATCTGTAGAAACATTTTCACACAAATATTAAAACAATGTCAAAGTCAATTTCCAACCTTAAATGACTTCACGTAGGTAAATAATGAATTGTTACGGGGCCAGTCATATTTATCGTCGGGGGGGGGGGGGGGGGGGGCAGGGGGTGGACAATTTTGGCGGGATCACATAGTTTTCAGACAGAGGGGGTCAGTCGTCTCCGACAGAGTATAAAGGGGGAGGGGACGGTAGAAAGTTGATTGCTGATTACCCACCAATGAAGGGGAGGGAGGGTCATAAGAATATTACAGAGCCTCTTAAAGGGATCAGGTAAATTTTATCCTGAAACAACCAAAATCCTCTGATACCCCCTACCCCCACAGGCGATAACTAAGGACCATTCCTTTAACAGACACTCGTCCATGACAAAAAGGTTGAGATCTAAGCGTCTCTTTGAGTGGAACCTTCTCCAAAATCGAACTCCGTGGTGTAACTGTCAAAAAAAAAGGCCAAAAGTCTTAAGCGATCTCGTTGAGGCCGATCTAAGCGCACGAAAGGCGCATGAGATCATCTTAGCCGAGCCTTGTCGTGTTTGATACGTGCTTTATCACGTGACTTAAACTGTATCATATTTGCTGATTTTCCTTTGATTTTATTTTCCTCCAGGAAGGACAAGGTTTTTTTTTTTACTTTTTTCGAACATTTAAATGCCTTTGACCACACCCTTGCATATTTTCCGGCTGTTTTAACAGCAGAGGGAACCGAGTCCTTTCTCTCAGGTGTCGAGTAGCAGTCTTGAACTCATGGATTTTTTCCGTTTCTTTCACTTTTATCTAGAAAGTAAAAAAGAAAAAAACATGAATATCGATAATCACAGACTGAAGAGAATGCATTCCGTACTATAAACAATCGATCAAAATTATTGTCATCTTCCCAACTCCCACTTCCTCTCCCTATTTCCAATTCATTATTCACCATTCCTTAATTTTCACTTCCCATTCCTCAGTTTCCACTTCCCATTTCTCACTCCTTGTTTTAACATGATTTTTGTACGCACCGCTGACCGGTTTGTCCACGGACACTTTCCCACTCCTTTACTCCTATACATGTATAAATGATGGGGAAAGCGGTAAACAAAGCACGTTTAGTTTCTGGTCCAAGAGAAACCGAGTGAACACCGGGCATTAGTCACTTGTCTTCAAAGTTCTCTGAGTACACATGCCAACATGACATGTTTCTACTTGATGGACTCTCCATGAAAGAGAACTTCCAAATTGGTGAAAGCGCGCAGAGAGGTTTAGCTCATCCTGACCTCCTATGCTGCATCAATATGAGTATTTCAGGACTAGAAAATTCATCTCGTTATATCCGAGCCGAAAGAGTAAAAAATAACTTAAAAAGTGTCCTTTCCGCTTCAGTTTAGCAAGCATGTAGGGTAATGGTTAGATATACGAACTGAATGATAGTCAGATATTTTGATCAACATATAAGAGGCGTTCTTTCGCAAAATAAAGATGAGCATAATGCTGAAAACGCTAGCGCTGTTTATGACAAGAAACCTAATTTTTGTGCATTGCTTTGGACAACAAGATTTATTTAAGGTCCCTGTTGACCCTTTGATCCCTTTGAGTGACTAACATCTAATTTCTCCTTACAATATCAACCCTGAATCAAACATCAAAGTCACAAGAATAAACGAAATGATCCCCAATTTAGAAGCTTAAACAAATTCTCCTTGTCAGCACTTTAAGAAAATTATCAAGAACAGTTTGGAGAATATGCATACTGATGTTAGGGTGTAAAGGGCCAAAGCATAAATTTTTTTCTCTATTTTTAATTTCCTTTATTTTTCCGACGCCACGCTCAAAAGGATTCCGATCTGTGACACCTCACTGTTTTGGTATCGCTCATCCCAGTGCTCAGCATAGAAAATATAACGATCAATTGAAAAAAGAAAATTTTTTCCTTCGATGGTGAGGATGCCAGAAAGATAAAATGAGTCAAACTTGGAGGAAGTTTTAACTTAATAAGATTAGCAAATCTGCCTTTGTTTTTGCTCTGAATCCTACATATTTTGAAATTACTTTTTTTTTTAATTGATCCTGCGGATCACCAGCTGTACAGTAAGGAAAACACGGATCAATGTCAGCATCCGAGCAACTGCGCGACCACCCCTCCCCTAACCCAACAACAGCCCACTGATTACAACTTAGGGTTAATGTTGAGTTATGGGAGGGGTAGATGCGCAGTTAGATTCTGACACTGATCTGGAAATACTATCGTTCATGAGAACTGGTATTCACCTCAACAGAGCTTTAGGTCAAGTCAGTATTCTGCATATTATACCTTTTACGTTGGCTTATCCTTATTGTTCAAAAAGCCTTAAAAGATCAGGCACAGTTTAGAAGACTATCAGAAACTTTTACAAATCCCGTGAATCTTAGTAACTGAATTTCTTCATAAAAAGCATGGTGCAAGAATCTGTTGTCGTCTTCTCTGTCCGGATAAAGCGATATCCAATTCAGTGATTTTTCGCAAGCGTTACAGATGAATGAACAAATAACACTTTTATCATGAAAGGAAATCTTATTAAATCATAGCAATAAAGGAAAAATATATACACAATAAACAACTTGGCCAAAAAGACAAGAGACTTCCCGTTCTGTTTACTCAAAGGAAAACCACCGATCTGTGGAATGGGCCCCGAATTTACGCGTTACTGCCTCGCCCACTATCGTTAACCATTTTTATCGTACCCATTCCCACGCTACGTGCACGATTTACTGACGCTTCACGTTTTCATATCCATTTTCAAACAAGTCCTTCCAAATTTGTTTTACTGTCATACTTAACTCTGTCTTCGTTGGCAATCGCGGAAAATTTACCACGAAGAAATCTGTAGTGAAGTCTCCGACTTTTTAGATGATATCTAGTATTATCTACCTCTCAGGCAACAGGCCTGAAATTTATCTGAGGTAAAGAGCATTAATTTTCAAGCGTTATAAATTAAAATGACAGTCATGACCTTTGATGAGCTCATAGAGATACTGATTTGCAGTTGTTACTGCATTACAACCTTTAAAAAAAAGTTATTACGCTAAGTAGGCACAGCAATGAATAGCCGTATACAAAATAGCAAAACAAAGTAATAATACGCTTTACATTGTAAGTGTAAAAGTCCAGCTGTAAACATCGACATGGAACAACCTTTTGACATGCACGTCAGCACCTCCCAGTAACCGTGACCTTTCTGAAATCGATCGTCTTGACCAATTCTCCCCTAGAAATAGGTATTACGATAGATAAATATAGCTCCGGGTTGCAGAACCGAGCACGCCTTCAAAAAGCCTCCGATGTTATCTGCGAAAAACAAGGATCTCAATGGGATGATGGCTTCTACGGTTAACGGTTAAAATTTGGACCATTTTACGGCTAACGGTTAACTTCCTCTGTGATACAAAGAAAAAGTTTTAACTTTTTTGCGGCTAACGGTCAACTTTCTTCGATGTCTATGATTATAAAAAAGCCGAAAAGATTTCCCGGTTAGCTTTTTTACGACTAACGGTTAAAATTTGTTAGTTTTTACGCTTAACGGTTACTTGTTTTGGCCGTTTTACTACTAACAGTTCACCCTTTGCATCCTAGGAGTGACCGACATCTAATTTCTCCTCTCTATAATATTGCTGAATCATTGATCAAGATCATGAGGATAACAGAAACGATTACCAAGAAAATCTTGATTGTTAAACAAATTCTCTTCGTCAGTACCGATGAATTTGTATAAAGAGTGAAGAGATATGGATTCTGATGTTAGGGTGTTAAGGGTAAAGACCATTGAGACCCTAAAAAACTGAGGGCCCATAAACTGACAGATTCATTTGTTAAATAAAATAAATCTTTCTTAAAGTGCCGCCAACCTCAAAATTTTTTTAAGACAAAATAAATCTCCTTGTCTTACTGTTAACAAAGTCGAAAAACTTAATGTCGCATCTATTTTAGTTTAATGAATTTTCAAAGATCCTAAAATTAACTCCCTTCATGTTCACGACCGAGAAATAGGGGAAATGGGGCGGGTTGGATCATGACACCATCCCGGCCGAGAACCGATTCTCCATATACATTTTGACAAGTTATACATACATTGTAGTCGCTTTAGGTAAAGTGTTGTGGAAATAGTAAAATGGTAGTAGCCCCTAAGTATAATCTTGAGTCCTATGGAAAGCCCACCTTTTCATTTATTGCTCGCTCACCATGGAACAAATTAGCACACCAACTAAGAACTACAGCATGCCTAAGTTCTTTTTTTACAGTAAAGAACTTTTTATTCAGTCGTTCCTTTTAGATTTTTCTCTCCTCAGACTTGTTTGTTAACAAATCGTAGCTTATGATGCAATTTTTATATATTTCTTAGCAACTGTGTTAAACACAATTGGTAAATCAGTAGAAATGGCACTATAGAAATAACGATTATCATTATTATTATTTTTATAAAAAGAACTAAATGCCATTCGTGAGACAGCTGTTTACTAGAAAAGTAAAAAAACTTATTTTAGCCTAGCAACAGCTGGGTCTGAAAGTGTTTTCCAACTTTGTTTTGTTACAAACAGCTAAGAAAGAGCATATACATGAGATCCAAATTCTTAACTTCAACACGCCACAAACACATTAAGGATAGCCAAACAGAAAGCAAAAAGTGAAGAACTGTGAGTAACTTACTCTTTATTCCAGATGGTTTGACGAATAACTTAGACAAACGTCCGCTTTGGATTTTCTTGATTGTCTAAAACGTTTACATTTAGCTATATCTCGAATGTTTTTTTTTTTTTATACCTGCGCTTTTGTAGCAGGAAACGTTCTTGCTACACCGTGAAACATTTGTGTATCAGCTTTAGTCTGATGGTCTCTGCCAGTCAACTCTAACTTTATTTCAGCTTATTGTTTAATTCCAGCAGTTTTTGTTGAACTATCGTGTCTTGGATAGCGTGTGACCATACCTCGATTGCTAGCCCATGCCACTATGTTATGATCTTCACTAGTGAAGACACTTACAATGTCACAAGGCTTGCACATAATTCTACTCGTTTTTTCAAAATTTTTTCATTTCAATTTCGTTTACATTTTTTTACACCTGAACCCCAGAATCAATAAAAAAGGAAATAAATGATACATTTATTTCTCAATGAAGAAACACCTTCCCAAAAATATTTTAAAAATTATTTCATCTTGAAATGATTTTTTAATTGTGCGATTATCAAAGGGCACCCTGGAAAAAAAATTGGGCTTTTTGTCTAGTAATAAAGCACGCTGAATTGTGTATATCCTGCTTTTTTACTGGTCCGACGACAAAAATGGCAGAAATTGGCAATGTTTTGTCAAGTCAACAATTTCTGCATCGATTTAGGAACAGAAATCCTCACTTTCAAAGATTTAGACGGTCATTTAGTGTGTTTACTTCTAAGAGAATCCTTAAACTTGTCAGAGTTTCTGCGAGTCTCTTTCGTTTAGTTGGGGTTAAGTACAGGCCAAAATCAGATGATCCTGGCAGTATGTCGCTGTAACCGCCAAATATTGATTTCACAACCGTCTCAGCTTATCGTCACAAAGTCTCAACACCTTGAAGCGATTATGGGAATGTGCCAATGTTCTATTGTGTCACAATCGGCGCCTTAAAAGAACATCTCGATTTAATCAGATAAATGGCAATACTATTTGAAACTTTGAATGCTAGACCGACTCATCAGCTGTGAATATTTTCACGTGTAACACAGGAAAATTTGATGCACATGACGGGAAGCAGTACTTCAACTAATTGTCAACTCATCGCTCACTGTTT